AAATATTCGTCCGGATATTTTGCGTTGTACACCACCAATGGCGAGGGAATGGCGACGGCGGCGGCGGCGGCGGCGGCGGCGCGGCGTCCGCGTCGGAGAACAAATGATTTAATGAGAGAAGGGCTGGAAACCCGACAGTAGCAGCCAACCGGGAAATGAGAGAGGGAAAAAGAGACACGAGGTAGCAGAGAGTGCGAGTGAGACGGCGAAAATACGGCCTGTGAACACACCGCGTATGAACCCTCTGATGCAGCGAAATACCAATGAAACTGAGGCGAAGGGGGCCGCCCGCCTGCCTGCGTACAGAACTTTTCGGGACAATTCTGCGCGTTTTCTCTCTCGGCTGGCTGCTATTATGCCTCGGATAACGTTACGCGTGACGATTAATGTGGAGAGCTTATTCAACAACGTTTTATTCTTAGTTACATCATCAGATCGCAAATATTTGATGTTCCACTTTGTCTCTCACTTCGCCTACGTCATTATCCTCTCCGTCGAGTAACCGATCGAGCTGGAGATATTCCAAATGCGAAGCTTTCAGAAATGTTTGGATTGTGGCTTGGATGATGCTTGTATCCGCTACTCCTTGTAGGGGATGATAATTTAACCAGGTTGAGTCACGCGGCTACATTCAGTGGGATTGTACGGATCCCGCGGATCCAACTTTACCGCGCTTTAAATGAACGCGCCTCGGTACGTGATGAAAATTTGAGATTCGTTAGTGTGGCGAACGCCGCGAGCAAGTTTCGACGTGTCAAGATTAGACGTGCAACTTTTAACCATTCTGTAGCAACTGTTTTACGGGATAAAAGTTTCTTTTCTCCTTCTACTTTACAAAAAGGAAAAGAATATGAACAAATGTAACTCTCTCTTTTTTATGATTGTGTTTTATGTACGCATCTTCCATCGAGCTCTGTCGTATTATTACCTGCCAAAAATTTCTCCGACAACGCGACAGCATACTTTTTTACGGTGTCAAACAAATTTCCGTCTCGACTCAGGCGAGATCTTGTCAGAGACGATATCTCTGATGCTCAAGCAAAAATCCGCCAAACGCGCTTCAACGAATCGCGCAACTTTGCAGAATTCCCTCTTGGAAATCGCGACGGGTGGTACTGTAAAACTTTTACGACACGCATTATGATGCGAAGTCGGTCGCGTTTGTGGAGACGTAAAAAAAAAAGAGAAAGAGAAAACGCATAACACACGATGGATCCAACCACGCGATAGTTCTCGCAACAGTAGCAATGCGAGATTTCATCGCACGTAAAGCGAACGTTATGATTTTCGCACCTTCCAACGCCCGACGTTTATTGAAAGAATTTACAACGACAAAAACTTAATAAAGGCCGCGACGTTCCTCGCATGAAGTGCTCGAATGAATGGCGAAAATCCTCGACGCTAGATTACAACAGGTGCACGTTGTCGAAATTACAACCTTGTTCGTTACAGTAGGCGAGAAAAAGAGGGAGGGGGAGAGAGAGAGAGAGAGAGAGAGCTGTTCAAAAGGACACCGGAATGGTGCAGCGGATCGTATTCTATTCACGAACAAGTAGAAATGGTACGCGTATGCACCGCCACATAGCAAAAACGCCTATGTGGCCCATGGATACTCTCGCACACTATTCATCCACGTACAGAAAATACTTTCAGCTATTGTACGTTCACGTATACCACGTACTTGGGTCCCTACCTCGGTTTAGCGACGGTTTATGTCGTGGTGTGAACGCAATGTGTACATGTTTTACGTCTACCCGTTACACGTTTCTGCAGAGCGGTTCACCTAACAATCTCATTTTAATTTTAAACGTGTATAATCTTGCGAGGGATGTAGAAAATTATTATAATAGGTTATACGCTGTTGCTAAATTACGAATGTAATATGCTTATGATTATGTGAATTGATCGTATTTAATAATATGCATTATGTATATTTTTTCCCATTTCCAATATAGGTAATGGAATTAAAATATTATTTATATCTTACGGTTAGAATATCGTCAAGTGTGACAAGATTCTGGACATATTACAATTTTGATTATTTAATTAGTTTATTAGTAATAAATAATATTTTTAACAATATAATAAAATTAGAAATTTACTATTTAAGTTTAAAATATTTTAATAGTAGTAATAGAAAGGTCAAAAATTTATGAGTAAATAATTAGGTCAAAAATATAAAATGGTTTATTGGAGTGTGTGTGTGTGTGTGTGTGTGTTACCCAATTAGTTAAAATATAATATGTAGGAAACGTGTTTCGACTTTACTTATGTTAGTCTTCCTCAGTTCATTAAAATAATAAATAAAAAGATAATCTTAATATTTAAATGATAATACCCTCAACGGATAACAAACATATAAAATAATTCTTAATTATAATGTAATAAAAGCCACATTCTCTCTAAGTCTAACATAAAAATTAATGATGATTGCCATATCGATGCACATTTTCTTCGTTAATATGCAGCAGAGGTCCAATTGAAAAACTATTTTCTCGTTCAAAGGCGAAAAAGTAGAGTCAGAAATAAAATATGTAAAGTCAATCGATAGTGGATATTTAGATAATGTCAATATGCAGTGAGACTTAAAAACTTATATGTGTTAAAATGTTAAAATATTATTCTAATCCGACAGTGTATAGTGCGAATGAACTTGCAAAATTGTTACGCAGAAATTATCCTCCAACGTCCTGTTTTACGAAGGTAAAGGTTGTTTCAATCGCCGATAGTTTATGTCGTACATTGTACGGGTACGGTGAAGGGACTTGTAATAGGAACGTGCTACCGATGAAATTAAAATGTAATTCCGCACTCCCCGTTGCACTCTCGTAATCTCCGCGAGTATCCCCGGGTGTCGCGACGGCGAATACGTACATCACGCGGGGTTTCTCTATGCCAGAAGGGGAGGTGGCTCGTGGGCCCAGGGGTAAAACGCGAGCGAGTGGGTGGCTTGTGGGATGGCTTGCGGATTCGTGAGCGGTCGGGAGGGTTGGCGCCGCGACGCGACACGTCGCGCCGCGCTGCACGCTCCAGGAGGGTGGCTACCGAGTTACGGGTGCGTCGGTCCCGGATTATTTGCATATTTTAATCTAACGGTAAAAAGTCGCGCGCAACGCTAGTTTTCCCATTAGTCTACGGGGGTGGGACTTTAAACGTAAACGCGCAATATTGTACATAACGTGCCGTGAATGTAAAGGAGCGAATGTAACACGATTTTATAATTTAAAGGGAATCACCGAATCACGTCACATTGAACTTATCAACTATTCGAGTGCCAATAAGATTGTAAAGATCCAAAGATTATATACTAATTTAAAATATTACACATATAAAATGTATGTATGTACTATTATGTGTATACATATATATATTTAATTATATATTAGGTCGAGGAAAAAGTTTCTTTGTATTTAAAAAAATTTTTTTTCAAAAGTTTTCCATTTGCAAAATTTTCGTTACAATTATTTCATTCGTTAGAGCAAAGTTTCAGCTTTAAGAATATGTTTTTTAAATTGCGGTATGATGATTTTTATCGGAATTATGAGCAATCAAAGTTAGAATGCTCCTTTACTTAATTTGTGAACAACTCAGTAATAAAAAATCATAGGAACATTTTAAAAAAATGATTTTGTAGAGAAAGCTTCAAGCTTTCACGATAGTTAGTCGAAAATTTTCGTAAATTTTTTTTGAACACGTGGGAGACCCTCAAAGTGAAAAGAAAATTTTTCATCTTTTTTAACTCGTAATTTTTTAAATGTAAAAATTACCAAACTCACAGAAACTCAAAAAATATAGTAACCTTTCAAAAGTAGAGATTTCAAGCTTTAAACCCTTTTTTTTTAATTTAAGTTTCGTTCATTTTTGACGAAGATATTGTATATACAATTTTGAATTAAAAAATACGAAGAAACTTTTTCTCCGGCCCAATATAAAAAGATGATGAAAAAAAAGATGGCCAATAATATAATATAATATTTTACAGATATGTCATTAGTACGTAAACATATTAAAATCTTTATTTTTATTTAAAAAATAAAAATTGTTAAAAATTTTGATACATTACTTTTTATACATGACGGTTAATAATAATAAAGTGAAATGTTGTTATGACGAAATCATAACAATATTTCAGGTTTACTAAATGAAATGTAAGCTATTTTCATCTGTTCGCGTATTTCGATAATTGCACACATTTCGTTAAAATTCTGTATAACTTTCGGCAATATGATTAAATGTCACCGATTTCAGTTGAAACTAAACAATAATAGCGATCTCTTTCCGTTATAGGTTTTATGATTTTTATGCTAACTCGATTTATATGAAATGGGAAATCGTGCGATATGGTATCAAGGTATTTTCAGAAAATTTTTCCAGGTCGTTTCAATTTTCATCCAAATCGACCGATTACACCTATAGCCACGCATATAAAAGTAATTACATTTTTGGGACGCCATCTGGAAAGACTGATCGCGAAGGACGCGAGAATTGGTGTTATATATATACTGCTGTATTTCGAGAGAGAGATAAAATTGGAAACCCCACATTTCCATCTCATACTTTTTCATGACTTTACTTGAACGCTAATAAATGATTATTTATTGGGTTTAATAATTGTGCAATTGTTTTATGCTTTTAAATAATCTCTATATAGGATATCTGATAAACAAAATTTAATAAACAAAAAGTAACGTTTCCTATCGAGAATTTTTTCTAATTATTGAAAATGCACTCATGTTTGATATTTCTAAAAAAATATTATTTTAATTTTCATCTTCAAAAGGACGTATAGCGTGTATCTCGAACTATATCGAAAGGTCTAAATAATTATATGATTACATGTTTTCTCTGGCTGAAAGTCGTGATGTGGCCGTGTACATGTAAAATCATGTAAAATTATACGTATTATATAGTAATCTATGTCATACGAATTGACTATAACGACTCTCGTGTGGATGATGAAGTGGAAGGGTGCTTGAATGAATCGGTTTATGTTGTGACAGGAATGAAAATATGGTTCGATGAGCATACCGCCACCACAAATACGGAGGAAAAAGGGAGAGTCACACAGTGAGGGATCAACAATATAGTAGTGAATATGGTGAGTGAATGATGTATTAATAAAACTAAATTCTATCCTAGAATTTTAATTATAGCGTAGGAAATATTACGTAAAATGTAGGCACGATTTTAAAACCAGTTTAATATCACTGCCAACGAATAAATTATAACAAATACAATTAATTATTCGTATCAGAAAGTTTTGCAAAGATTATTATCAATATTATTATTAATATCTGTACAATTACTTTGCACATCTATATATTTAAGTAAACATTAATAAATTATCTAACAGAAAGGAAAGAATTATTTTAACCACTTAATTTATATATTATACAATTGTAACTCGTTTAAAATAAATCACAAATGAATTATGATGCATAAAAGCAAACAAATCTATGCATTTATAATGAGTGCTTATATTTATTATTATGGATATTTACTTGCTCTCAATATTTACATATTCGTTTAAATACTATGCCGAATTAATAAAAGGTGTATGACTGTTAATCAAATCATAAAAGTTTCATATTATATGAATTATGTTTTAAAATATGTTTTAACCCCTTGAGGGGCACATTTTTCTCCTAAACAAATTATTGAAATCATAGATCATCTATGGGTTTTCGGGATCGCTGATTACGATTCTGATGTTAGAATTACAAAATAAATAATAAATAGACTTATAAAAGATCAATTTTCCAAAACTTGAAAAATTTTTTTCGGAAAAACTAGCAAACAGAAATTCTAAAAAATATATATATTATAGTTTCAGATATGGGGTACACACATAAAAATTTTCAGAGCTCTATATCACTTCACGTTTAAGAATAGCCGAATTTATCTTGAAAAAAAAACCGAGTTTTTTTACATTAATTGTTTATAACAAAATTGCAAATAAATAAATTAACGTAATTTTTCATAAAAGTTAAATCCCTAAGAGTCTAAAAAGTACTCATATGCGCATACAAACTGCAAAATAGATCAGAAATATGGAAAAAACTAAGAACAAAAAGGTGGGACGTATACGTCCCACTACCCCTCAAAGGGTTAAAGAATAAATATATGTATATTTAGATATATGCTGTATACCCACATATACCACTGTACAAACATACAGGGTGTCTGATAAGTTTTGACAAAGCTCTCGTGTGGATAGAGCGAGATAATTACAAACTTTTTATTTTATAATCGAATTTCATCAAAAAATTAGAATTCTAGTAATCTTTACAAAAATATCAACAACAAACGTGTTATATATTATTTAGACTTATACAATTACACGACAATAGGTATATCAAAAGTGCAAACCTAATTTATATTTTTAACTTGCGACATAATACAAATCGCGAGTGTATAACATCAACGATAATAAGTTGATCTATCATATCTTCTATATCTTGACCCACATACAACATTCTGCTGGGAAAGCCATCCAATCTAAATCCATTTTCCGGCATGGTCGACAAATTTCCGGCTATCGAGCACCCTTAATTGACGGAATATATCACTAGATCGAGACTATCATAGTGCCACGAGACATAATTTACGGAAATAACGTAGGTTATCCACCCATCCATAAGGTACCACTGCTGCGACAACTGTTCTTTCGGGTTTTAGATAGGATCGGAAAATCTCGAGATTTATGTACGGCCATTTCTCCAAAATCTTTTTGAAATTTTTATAGATCTCGCATGCGGCGATAGATATCTTGCGTAATTTCATAGAGACCAATAAAAAAGTGGAGGATTTTTATTTATATTTTTTCAATTGAATTATAATTTCCTGTTTATATTAACTCTTGTTAATACTGTTTTAATATTAGGCTTTCTTAAAAGTTGAGTATAAGAGATATTATAAATTTAGAGTATATCTAAACATGGCAGCGATAAATTACAGCGATAAATAAAAATTGAAGAAAATGGTACATGCATATTCGGGACACTGTTTTTAACCCATATGACGTACCGCATACGAATGTGCGGTTAATTCTATGTGCGATTAAAATTATAATTTAATCTGAAGGAATTACACATGCGCAACCTATTTGTGAGCGCGCGTAGCGTGAACGCGGTGAGTTCGTGTAACCATAAAATTCCAAGCGCTGACAGAAATTACAAAACGATGCAATGCCTTCGGTATAGTTTCTGCACTTCTACCTCCACACCGCGCGCGCTTAAATAATTCATACTCTCTCGTGTTGCTAGGATAATATTTCCCGACCTTTCCGCGCCGCAGCGTGCACCCTTGTATGGGACGACGGCGGAAATGTGCCCGAAGCGTACATAAAAATGTACGAGAAAAATGTTGTCACTATCGCTCGCAGATAGTAGTACAAGTATCATTGTTTGCGCGTTAGTAGTAGGTTTGCTTATCATTTCGCGTACGTGCAGAATCATTATTACAGTCAGATTGTGGCGCAGCCAGTTATAATAAATAATGAATTTTTATTAAAACAGATTATTGAGTTGTTGTGTGTGCAGCCAAATATTTATCAGCGCGCGTTTCTTAAACAATCTTGGGGTCGCGTTCTATTAACTCGTGCAAGGCACGTAATTGCGAATTGTTCGTTCTTCGAGAGTTGGTAAGCAGAGATTCTCTCTCGAGTAATGAGAAGAGAGCATGCTACACTCGAATCTTCTGAGCTTACCGTTCGTACGACTACCTAAATGCAAATTCTTTATGAAAATCCGACGTGCCGGTAAAAAGCAACGATATTGCGAAGTCGGTTTACGTATACCAGACTCGCGAGCGCGGCTACGCTCCCTAAAGTGTTGGCGCAAGAAGGAGTGTTTCCTTTCTTCGTGTAGGCAAGATTCCCGTGGCAGGGTATACGCTCGGCATACAAGCGCGTATTAATTAAGTTGGCTTCTAATTAATGCAGAACCCACTTCGACCGCGAAGGATCGCTTAGGATGGAACTTCCCTTTAAGCTGTAATTACATTTACGGTACACGTGTTGGTGTATATCCGTCGGCACCTCGTGCCGTACAATATGAAGCCACCGGCACCGTCCCGGCTCCCCTCTCGCACCCTTGTCGCTGTCGCTGTCGCTGTCGCGCCCTTCTCGACGCGACGTTTGTGCGGGTGGATATTTGTTTCGTAGCGCCGCGAGCTCAGTTTCGGTTGGAAGGACGCGCGCGTAAGAATATTCATCGTGTGCCCTGAAAATGGCATCCAAGCCGCGCCGCGAGTTGACGGGGCTCCACGCGGTCGTCACCACCAAGATGATTCGCCAACGAACGACGCACGTGCTCATCGGTGCGTTAAATAGATCATGCGAAAGGTATTCCGATTCGGTGGCGCGATAACGTCAACCTCGTCGTGCACGTACCAACGATCACGTCACTCACCATTTCTCTCTGTTAATGTCGTCGTTGGCGGATGATCGTCGACGAAAGTGTACGTAACTCTGGCGCCACTATTTTCCGCTTTACGATTTGCATTTGTAATTTTCTTCCAACTCGTGCAATGTTAACTTTCCTCGCGATCGAGAACATTCACTCTCTCGCTACTGAGACGTTTTCTTACCTTTGTTATATTAAAGTGATATACTAACAAGGCTGACATTAACTGTTAATCCAGCTAATATTGTCCGTGACTGTAACGTTTATAGCGGAAGGAAGATTGCAACGCTCTGCGCGTACAAAAGAAATTAGCGAAATTGGATTATTAACCGCGTAAACGTGCGCGTTTAATTAGAGAAATGCAATTACATATGCGCTCTACTGACGTTTACTTCAATGCCAAACGTGTAGGCTAGTTATTAGAATCATAAAATAATGAAATAATAAGCAAGTTTCGAATCCCTATTTTATGTACCAGATTCGCGTTACAACTGAAAATGTTAAATTATATCTACAAATTTATTTAAATAAATATTTAGCATTTGGTTAAGTAAAAATATTTTAAATAATCTTAATAGAGAAACATGTGCTCTACAAAGTTTTTTTTATTAATTATTATTTAAGAGTATACGCAATGTCGAAGACATGGAGAAACAATATTTTTAGAAATGGTATTTACGTAGAGATTTATTCAAATTCTCAATCCGGTAACATTTACAAGTAATCCCATCTCTCGAGTAAATATTTGTTTTTTCTCGCGCTTTTCGAGTCTTTTTTTTGGATGAAAAGACATTTCTGCTAGTTACCATAGACACGTAATAAGATCGCGCGCGGAGGGACCTCGCAAAGGGCATCATAATTGTCAGTGATAAAAATTCTTCTCTTTGTGCTTTTTTTAACGATCTACCTACACAATGAAACACAATCTCTGGCGTTGCGTACGTGCTAGGCAAGGAAAAAAGGATACAAACCAGAGAGAGAGAGAGGGAGAGAGAGAGAGAGAGAGAGAGAGAGAGAGAGAGGAAATGGAAGAAAAGGGAAGAGGACAAGGGAAAGTGGAAAGAGGAAGAAACCATGGTTATTTACAGCTTCTCTCGTACACTCACCGCGGGTAAATACCACTTCTTTCCAACCCTCCTATCTGCTGCGACGCCATGCTCGTTTTGACATAAAAACTCTATCTCCCTTTGCAGCATCACTATCGGCTCTCGTCGCTAGTTTCAAACTAGATTTTCCCGCCTCTATCGTACCTCCCCCCCCCCCCCCCCCCCCCTTACCTTTCCCCGGAATTCTTCCTTCGTTCGAGCATCATCGACTTTCCGCTACAAAGCGCTTTGGAAACTCATTCCCGTTGATCTTGTTCCGTCGGGTCCCCATGCAAAATTGCTATACGTGGTTCCGCATATGTACGTGACTACCATAACAGAGTGACAATCACAGATAAACGCAGTTTTCGGGATCATATAGTTAACGTTTTACAACATACTGCGGTGAACCTACTATTTGGTTGTAAAGTCGATCAACTTGAGAAGGTTTCTTGCGACTTTGGTTGCCAGTAGATCCGCAAGAAAATCACGTATTAAATTTAAGCGAGATAAACGTGTTAATGATTTCCTTCCCCGCCCTCAATTTCGATCGATCTTTCGATTCTGGCACGTTACCTCGAAACTCATTCTCTTCGAGCATTATGCGC